TGGCCCCATGGACAGACCAGCCAGGACATGGCCCCATAGACAGATGACCCAGGCTGCAGCAACAGGGATGGACCTGGGAGTCCGTCCCAAGTCTGACCAGGGACAGAAGCCCATGGACTAGTCACCCAGGACATGGCCCCATAGAAGGGTCAGCCAGGACACAAGCCCATGGAGAAGCCACCCAGGACACCAGGATGGGCCATCAGGAACATGGCTCCATGGAGAAGCCACTCAGGACATGGGGAGAGGGATGGGCTATGAGGAACACAGGCCACCAGGCCATGGCAGAGGCTCTGCCGCCACCTGACCCTGGCACAGGCACCCGCTGTCTCTGCTGCCGCAGGTCCCAGTGCCTCCAGCACAGTGGTGGCACAAGGGCCCACGTGCCCTCGTGCTGTCCCCACGAGCAGCCGGGTGTTGGGGAGGCTCCTTCTTGCCAGACCCACCATGAAGCCGTCCTGGCTGCTGCCTGGGAGAGCTGCACGGCCGGCCACGGCCACGGCCCTGCGCTCCAAGAGCAGCAGCGAGCAGCGCCGGCCCACGTGTCACCCGCGCGGCACCGCCACGCGTGGGACAGAGCCGCCGCTGCCAGCCACCGCCACAGCCACTGCCACCACCTCCAATGGCCTCCAGCCACTGCCACCAGCCACCGCCACCAGCGACTGCCACCGCCTCCAGCCACCACCTCCAGCCATTGCCACCACCACCAGCCACTGCCACCAGCCGCCACCGCCACCTCTCTGTAACCCTAAGGCTCGGTAATGCCGGTGTTTCCAGCGTGGTGTCCTGGTGGGTGAGTGCTCTCAGCCACCACAGTATCGGCTTTCTGGAAAACACCCAGGCCTCCATGTCAGTGCTGCTGGGCGGCACCAGGCCCCACGGGCCAGCCTGGCCTTCAGCAGCCCCCGGAGTAGTTATTCTCTTTAGCAATCCAGTGAAATACTCATTTTTTGTTGTTTAGATCCCCATGTGGATCGGCAGCTCTGAAGCAACCACAACTTGTTCTTCAGACCAACAGCATCTGCTGGAATGCTCCCAAAATCCACAAATATCCACAAGTTTGGGCCCATCCCCAATGCTGGATGTGCAGGTTCAGCTCCAGCCACCATGCTGTCCCCTCTGCCCATCACCGCCTCGGGTCTGTTCAAATGTTCGGTGCTTCCTCCGTCCTCGCGCTGCGGAACAAGCCGTGCAAGCAGGTGTTTTTCTCACATGGGCTCTCTCTTCGGTTTCAAAGGCAGGTTGGGAAGGCAGCAGAGAGCGCGAGGAAGGATGCGGGATGTGCACGAGTCCAAAGGGCAGGAACGGCGCAGCCCCCCCGGGCCGTCTGTGCCGGGTCTGCACACCGAGACCCCCTTCAAAGGGCCGGGGCAGCGGGAGGGCACGTGGGCCCTTGTGCCACCGCTGTGCTGGGGCCACTGGGACCCGCGGCAGCGGAGAGAGCGGGGGCCTGTGCCGGGGTCAGGCTGTGGCCATGGCCTGGTGGCCTCTGCCATGGCCTGGTGGCCTGCGTTCCTCATAGCCCATCCCTGTCCCCATGTCCTAGGGTACTTCTCCACGGGGCCATGTTCCTGGTGGCCCATCCCTATTGCCACAACCTGGGTCGTCTATCTATGGGGCCATGCACTGGCTGGGCTGTTGATGGGACCACATCCCCCATGACCCATCCCTGTCCCCATGCCCTCTTTGTGCGGGAAGTTGCTACAGCCAAGCTACATGGCCGCGGAGAGGGTGTCTTTAATCAGTACGGAGCTTCTGCTGTCCTAGAAGCATCTCATGTCTCCAGGGGTGGTTTTTACTTCTGTAGATCTGTGTTCAATGCTGGCTCGTTTGGGACTCGTGCTTAGGAAGCGTCTTGTGCTGCTCTCACTCTTGTTTCCTGTAATCTCGAACACACAGATCAGAAAAACTCTAATTGCCAGTATTGATCAAAACCTCCGGGTACTCGTTTCCCTTTTTATATTTTTAATTAAAAAAAAAATCAGCAAATTCCTGCCATTCTAACCCAAAGCTTGCATTGAAATACAGCTTTCTGCTTAGAAAGAGTAGTCTAGGAGATAAAGTCTCCAAAGGGAAACCGAGGTCTATTCCAGCTGGGAATAAACCCGCCTTTATCTCTCCCCTGTGCTCCAAGACAGCAACCAGGTCTATCGGGGCGTACAGCAACCCTCGCTGCAAGGAACTACGGAGACGAGAGGATTTTCTTTGGGAAATGCTTGGAGGAGCAGGACCCGCCCGGGCTGCAGGAGATCGCTCAAGGGGATGCACATTCAAAAGGGACGGACCAGAATGCCTTTACTTATTTATTTATTTAGATTTTCTGTAAATGCTAAAGCTGGGCAAGTTCCACCACCGTTGCCCTCTAGTGGGGCTCTTCTGCTGCTACCTCTCCCACCAGCTCAAAGGCTTGGGCTAATTTGCTTGCAAAATATATGCAAAATGGGGTTGTCTCATTCCGAGAAAAAAAAATAAATAAAGAGGTAATTAATTGCTAGGAAAGAGGCACTGCAGGGATATTAAAGATTAGAGAGGCCAGCCAGGGCCCTTGAACCATTGCTTGGCTTTTGACACAAGTCTGTGGCATGAATGCTCGATGCTTTCAAGCGGCCCTGGCACGTTTGCCCTTGCGGAAGGAGAAACCCTGGGAATTGGCTACATCCCAATTCTCGGGTTGACGGAGGCAAAGTCATCGCTTAGGTGTTGCAGAAGCCACGGGCACGGGGTGAACGCGCCCGGAGTCCGTCTGCTCCCCGGGTCCAACACCCTCCCGTCCAACCCGCCGTCCCCGTCACGAGGGGACGGGCGGCCCGAGGAGGCCGGTCCTGCAGGAGGGGCAGAGACAACCCGGCCCGAGGCCTCCGGAGACCCCGGGGCGGGGGCTCCAGGCCGGGATATCCCACCGGGCAGGGAACGCGGGCGCAGCCGGGCACGTCCCAGCCCGGGGACATGGCGAGCGGCCAGCACAGCCCCATGCAACGTCCATGTTCCAGGCAAGAGTTGGGACAAAAACAGACCAAGATCAACAGCTCTGCGTAATTTAGTGTATAATGCATTTATATATAAAATAAAACCTGTAGTTTGGTTGCTGCTATCAATCCTGTTCTCAGCATTTCAAACCACAGCAGCTTTGGCCTTTCAGGAGTTAGCCCAGAGCTGGAGCCGGCTGAAGAAAAAACCCACGGGTAGCCCTTTGCACCGTAAACTTACGGATCGTTCCTGGGCAACGGAGCAATTGAACACGGTAACAACATAACTAGTTATGATGCAAGACACTGCCACTCCAAACACACTGTCCTGCTAAACAACGAGTGTGCAGGACTGGCCCCGTCCTGCATCCGAGCAGCACGGGCACCAGAACAGACCCGTCCCCAAGGACATCTGAGGGTTCGTTACCACCAAACGTTTTAACGAGATGGAAGTTGCCACTAAAAACAGAGCTTCCGTTTCCACACACACACAGATTTGTTCGCAAATTTTAGCTTTTGCTGAAAGGACCCAACTCTCCCCCCCAGTCTGAGTTTTCTGCTGTGAATTAGTGGAAGGGGAACACACCAGGAATCCTTTTACTGCTTTTTTTTTTCTCCCCTAAAAGCAAAAATACTTTTCTTATAAAGTGCTCTGCTAGCAGATTGTTTCATCACCAATGTATGTTTTGGGATATGCAAATATACTTGTGAAATACAAGTCTACACTGTATTTCTATTGAACACCCATATCAAAGAAGTAACCCAACTGCTAAACTACTGTTTTTACCCTGGAATAATGAAAGTTTCCTCAGCAGATACCCAGCAAACCTTGCTGTGAGGACACACACATTCAAGCAAGCTGAAAATATAATATACGTTTCAACAGACTCAAAGGAGTCCAGTCGAAAGAATGTGGGATAAAGATACAAACAATACAAAAATATCGTTCACTTTTTTTATTTTGAACACTGGTTTTATAACTTATTCCTGTCAGAATGAGACCTGCTGTGAAAGCAATCGCAGAAAGAAACTTCTGGGCAGGTGGTGAGAGATCTTGTTGGTAATGGAGAGGTCCCGCCTGGTCGTGGAGAGGAGCGGACATCACGGCCTGGCGCAGTGGCTCTGCTGGGCATCACGAGCTCACGTCACAGCAAGGTCTCAGCACAGGGACGGCTCCAAAACACTCGGTCCAGCAGCACGTTTCCTACAATAAACACAAACCAGCAAATGAGCAATATCACCTAAAAAGTGCTATAGCAGCCAGTGCTAAAGATTGATGTCAAAAGCCTCAGCGAAGTTTCTGTTATAGACCCCGACAGAGGAACTACCAAAACGCAGGTGGGCAGATTTGTAAAGCCCTTTAAAAAAGAGCCATGGGCACCACGGAAACATCTTTCTTTACTGGTGCCTGTCAATATGCTCCTTGTGGGTCATTTAAGCACCATGAAACATCCATGCTCATCTTGGGCAACGCAGCTGCGGTCTCCGGAATACGTCCATGCACCTACTCGTGGCTAAGCTGATTTTTAAGTTAAAGTCTTTAGGACACAATTAAACTGCTTCTGCAGTGCTTGAGAGCTTTTCCATGGACCTGCCCATAAACATCCACAGTCACTGAGACCTGCAATTGCAACAGACTTGGAAGATCCCTTTGAGGATGCAGCTGCTCCATGGAATAGGGAGGAATCATCTGGCTGCAAAGCTGGTCAGGAGCTCGGAGGCGCTATGTCTAAGGCTGGAATGTGAACGGCTTGGATAAAACTCCCGCATTACCACTCGTGATTCCAAAGGATTTCCTCAAGAATCACACTGCATTACGGAAAAAAAAAAGCAGCTTGCAAAGCAATCACTTGAAAATAAATTAACATTATGCCCTTCTGATTGCAAAGCTATCACTTGAAAATAAATTATTTTGTCCTTCTGCTGCCCCAGTAAACATATATATGTATTATATATAGATGGATAGATATCTATAAAGGGAGAAAACGGAGTGATGACATTTGCAGAGCCGTGGTGCTGCTCACCGCGCGGCGCTCAGTCCTCGGCCCGGTACTTGCCGCCGATGTAGGGCACGTACTGCAGCAGCAGCTTCCAGTCCGTGACCCACACGAGCCCCGTGCCGGCCACGCCGCCCCACGTGAACAGCGTGGGCGTCCTGCAGGACGGGGACACGCGGGTCACGCCAAGGGGAAGGAGCCCCGAGCCCCGGGAAGGAGCCGCGGGCCCCGGGGAAGGGAGGAGCGGCCGCGCGGGGCTGGGGCGGGGG